CATTACATGCTGCTGCACTCCATTCAGTTACTTTTATTGAAATTGTATGTTTATTAAAATCTTGTTCGTATTAAAATATTATATTTTCATCTCAGAATCCTGCCATTGTATAGGCTTATCGATCGCAATGTACTTCATATCGCGTAACACATCCAAGATCAGAGGACTTTTCCAAAACAGACTCCTGTTTTCACATTTGGATGCTCAGTACACATTTAGAGATTCTTTTACAAATCTGACTACTCACATACGACTTCTGATACAGTCACACAACCCCACACACATATTTCCAAAAAAAAATGTTCAAATACAAAGACTTTTCAGCAAGTCTTTTCATTGCTGGTAAGATGGAATCTGGCTTAACTGCGTTTCTTTGTGCAAAATATGTCTTCGGTGTTTAGCTTGTTAAAACACGAATTTTACCGGGGCGCACAGGACATCAGTATTACCGGACGGGCCATAGTGAATGGGGCGTAACGTGACCCATGTCTTCAAATTCACACCATTAATCTGTTGCTGCATCGACTCAGTACACAGCTGCAGTGTGCTTGCGCAGAGGCGCATATCTTGTCAGCAGGCAGGGCAGGCAGCTGCTTGGGGCCCCAAAGCCACTAGATGGCGAACGAGAGCTGGTTTCATATTTTAAAGTCCATTAACTTGTTGAAAATTGTAACTTGTGAAATAAAAAGTTTACTGTTCACAATTTTTTGTTAATGTCAGATTATTTATTAAAATGATGACAGACCCTAGGATTGCCTCTGTACTTGCGTACCTTGAGTGAATGAGACTGAAACTAGAAACTGTAAACTGGATGGAGTTAAACAGCAAAACTGTTGAAAAGGCATGGGAATTTTTTAAAAGCACGTTGTTGCAAGTGCAAGAGGACTTCATACCTGTTTCCAGCAAAACTAAATCTAGGAAACTGCAGCCAAGGTGCTTTATTACGGAAATTAAGGATAAAGTCAGGAGGAAAAGGGCTCTGTTCCACAAATGGAAATTAACTAACGATTTCAAAATAAAGCAGGAGTATCTAAGTCTACAGGTTGAGTTAAAAAATAACATTAGACTCAAGAGGAAAGTAGAAAGGAAGATTGCTTTGGAGGCTAAGGATGACGTTAAAAGTTTCTTCCAATATATTAACTCCAAAATAGCTCTAAAAGCTGAAATCACTAATCTGCAGGATAGTAAGGGTCTTATAATTGAAAATATTGATATAGCAAATTAGTTCAATGATTATTTTAAACGGGTGTTCACAGTAGAGAACACAAGTAACCTGCCACCATTTAGTATAAATACAGCGTCGTCTATGACCAATATATGTATAACTTAGGCTGATGTGGTACTAAGCCTAGCTAAACTCAAAATAAATAAGTCGCAGGGCCCTGATGGCATCTTACCTATAGTTTTAAAAGAGATGAGGGATATTATTAGCCAACCTTCAACTTTACTATTTCAGACTGGTGTGGTACCTTCTAATTAGAAGCATGCTAATATAGCACCCATATTCAAAAAAGGGGATAGAAGTAATCCAGCAAACTATAGGCCAATCAGTTTAACTTGCATAACCTGAAAGGTAATGGAAGCTATAGTCCAAGTGAAAATGGTAGATTACCTGGATTCAAATAACATTCTGAGGGATAGCCAACGTGGATTTAGGAGAGGTAGGTCCTGTTTAACTAATCTACTTGACTTCTTTGAGTAAGCTACAAGAGAAATTGATCACAAAAAAGCCTATGACGTTATCTACTTAGATTTCCAGATGGCCTTTGATGTTGTCCCCCACAAATGGCTCTTGCTTAAGCTCAACGCTGCATGGATTTTAGGAACTGTAGCAGTTTGGATCAAAAACTGGTTAACAGACAGGAAGCAGTGGGTAGTTATTAGAGGCATAATGTCAAAGTGGGCCTGTGTTCATAGTGGGGTACCACAGGGTTCAATTTTACCAGTTTGAAACACCCTCCTAAACTTATTTAAACTTCATGTATAATAAACATGTTTTAAATGCTTTTTTTTTTAGATATTGTCATTTTCAAACCTATATAGATGTAAATGTGATTAAAGAAGAATAGGGTAAAACAGGATAAAATTTAATTTTAGACGCTGCTCACTGGTGAGTTTTTGCTATTTTTAGAACAGGTCCGCGGGCGACTCATGTGGTCCTTGGTATCATCATGTTGGTGAGCCCTGACTTAATTCAATATAATTAAATAACAAAGATCATTTTTACTTCTTAGCACTATTTAGCCTAAACAATAGGCTATTTTTGACATGTGGGAACACAAGTGTTTCAGATAGATTTTATGCAAACAGGAAGTGCCACTGAACGAGCTGTTGAACGAATATTTTTGTTGAAAAAAATAGTCTTTTCACCCATCACTAGTATTGTGAAATGCAAATTCCAACTATTACATGCATGTATTCATCACACTTATTTATTACTCTAAAATATTTCTAGAAATCAGATATACGTGAAATTTCAGCATTAAGTTTGTGTATACATTTATATATACAGTATATGCCTATCCCGGAACCTACGGAAGGGAACTCAGGATGGGGTGCCAACCCGCCGTGGAAAATTGTAACTCCAATTAACCTCAGCATGTTTTTGGACTGTGGGTTGCAACTGAAAAGCCTGGAGGAAACCCCATGATGACACAGGGATAACATACAAACTCTACACACAGAGGTGTGAGGCAACTGTACTAACCACTGCGCGCCACCGCACCACCCACATCATATACCAAATGAAAGTGTCCTTCCCAGTATAATTTCCAATGTCTACTACTGACCGATGATTCTGCAGCGCTGCTGAAATAGATGTGAAGGATACTTTCAGTGTTTCATCTTTAGAAAATGAACCTTGAGGAAAATGACAAAGACAATTGTATTCATTTAAAAATAATTTTAGATTTATTGGTGTTTTGATGAACTTGTGATTTCACTATTCATATATAATACAAAATAAAATCCTGGGACAAACACTGTACAGCCGACCTTTCCACATTGCAGGGGTTAGGGCGTAGGCTCAACGCGATCTGGAAAAACACTACATAGTTTAGTATAATTTCAAGGAGGTCGCCAGCACCTCTGAGGAGTTCCTGAAGCTCACCCTGCTTTCTGAGATCATAAAGGATGAGCTCAATGTAAGACAGGAGGAAGTGGTCTTTAGTGCCATCCTGCGCTGGATCTTCCACGAGCCTGCCAGCTGCAAGGCCCACATTTCTGCGCTGTTGCCTAAGGTGACTATAATTACGCAATGTTCTCATTGACATGTGTACATAATAGGATGCTAATTCAGTGAATCCCCAAATCCTTATTGCTGTAGCTAGAGACTAAACCATTTTGAAAATCCATCCATCCATTTTCTAGACCGCTTATCCTACTGGGTCGTGGGGAGTCCGGAGCCTATCCCGGAAGCTATGGGCACGAGGCAGGGAACAAGCCAGGATGGGGGGCCCATTTTGAAAATGAGAAATTAAAATCTGGATTGCTGTTGTACCCTTTATGTTAATTAAGAGTCTTTTCCAGTGATACTTAAAAAAGCACCAAGAAACTCATGGGATCTCTCTCCATCTGGTTTCCTGTGTAGGTGCGAATGGCTCGCATGAATGAAGATTTCTTCATCAAGTATGTGATGAACCATGACCTAGTGAAGCGCAATAACATTATTAATGACACTTTGAAGGTCATGTGTGACCTGGACATTAATGGTCCCCCACAATCAGACTTTGAGCACCCGCTGGTCCGCCCACGCCTGCCCGCTGACATCTTGCCGGCCATTGGTGGCTGGAATGACCGGCCAAGCAATGTCATCGAAGCATATGACTCGAGAGCCGACCGCTGGGTCAATATGACGCAGCAGGGCGACAGACCCCGGGCCCACCATGGCATGGTGTACCTCAAGGGGTTTGTATACTGCATCGGGGGGTGTGATGGTGGTGCCTGCTTGAACAGTGTGCACAAGTTCGACCCCATCGCACGGATTTGGCATATTGTGGCCCCGATGCAGTCGCGCCGCTGCTATTCCTGTGACTGTGCTGGATGGCTTCATCTATGTCATGGGTGGCCGTAATGCCGACAGACGCCTCAACACGGTCGAAAGATATGATCCTGAGACCGATAGATGGAGCTTCATCCAGCCCATGAACGTGGAGAGAAGCGACGCCAGTGCTACCACCCTCCATGGCAAGGTGGGTCAATGGCGGGGGGCACCTGGGTGTGTTTACCCTCATTTTCCTCATGAAATTTATTATTTTACACATTCGGTAGCTCTTCAAATTAGAGATTTCAGTCTACAATTGATATGTTCATTGAAGGACCTAACCTGGCTCCCACAGTCTAAGACTTATGAGATAGGCAAACTGGCATATAAAATCCCCTTGCTTATGCCTCCTGGGGTAGCCTCCAGGTTCACCATGACCCTGTAATGAATAAACTTTTATGAAAGACGGTGGGATTCAGCTGTACATTTACTCTTTTCAGCTCTTCATCGCCGGTCAGGTACAGCAAAAGAGTCTTCACCTTTATACTTGTTTTTCCTAGATATACATCTGTGGGGGCTTTAATGGAGCTGAGTGCCTTGCCACTGCTGAGTGCCATGACCCCATCACCAACCGATGGAGCATGATTGCTCCTATGAGAACACCTCGGCATGGTGTTGGAGTCATAGCACATCATGGGAGAATCTATGCGGTGAGTGACTCCTTTGTTGTACCTTGAACCTTAGGTGTCAAGTCTCATGTTTTACCTGTGAGATTCATGGTAATTTAATAATAATTGATACTTTATTAATCCCTGTGGGGAAATTGTCTTTATGCCTCCCTCAACTTGCTCTTTGTGGAGTAAGTTGTCCACAAAGGGCAGCCACCCATAGCGGCACCCAGGAAGCAGGGGGTTAAGGGCCTTGCTCAAGGACCCGCAGATGTTAACCGGCAGCCTTGTGATTACAGGCACACAGGCTTAGCCCACTGAGCCACACACTGCCCCTTAAAAGACTACCATGTTTCCACTTGGTTTCAAACCAAGGACCTTTTACACGTTAGGCAAATGTGATAACCACTACACTATGGAGACAACTAACTAATTTGCCACTGTTGCTATGAGTGGAGTGCTACAGTAGTATGCAAAAGTTTGGATACCCCTCGAAAAAATAACATATTTTGGTCATTTTTTAATGGAAAAGATGTAAATAGAGTATCTGTAGGAGATCTACCCACAAATTTTCATAATGTTTAAATTAGGGGACTGTGATGGTCATTCCAAAACCTTCAGCTTGTGTCTCTTGAGGTAGTTTAGGGTTGTTTGCCTTGTTGTAGAAGCCATCCTCTTTTCAGCTTCAGCTTTTTTTTAAAGATGGTGTGATGTTTGCTTCCAGAATTTGCTGATGTTTAGTGGAATCCATTCTTCCCTCCACCCGTGCAATGTTTCCTGTGCCACTGGCTGCAACACAACCCCAAAGCATGATAGATCCACCCCCATGCTTAATAGTTGGCAAGGTGTTCTTTTCATGAAATGCTGCTACTTTTTTTCCTCCAAACATGCCGTTGCTAATTGTGGCCAAAGAGTTCTATTTTAACTTCATCAGTCCACAGCACTTGTTTCCAAAACACATCAGGCTTCTGTAGATGTTCTGTTGCATACTTCTGACGTTGGATTTTATGATGGGGATGCAGGTAAGGTTTTCTTCTGCTGACTCTTTCATGAAGTTCTTGTGGAACGGTGCACCACCACTCCTGAGTCTGCTAAATGTTCCTGCAGTTTTTTGCAGTCAAATGGGGGTTTTGATTTGTCTTTCTGACCAGCATATGAGCAGTTCTCTCCAAGAGTTGTCTTGGTCTTCCAGATCTCATCTTGACCTCCACAGTTCCCCTGAACTGCCATCTCTTAATTGCACTTCTCACTGTGGAAACTGCAAGGTGACAATTCTTTCCTATCTTCTTGTAGCCTTCTCCTGCATTGTGGACATCAAACTTTCATTTTCAGAGTCTTACACAGCTGCTTAGAGGAACCCATGGTTGTTGAGTGTCCACAAGTGTGTGCACAAGGTTTGAAGAGTCAGTGTATTTGTAAAGCTTTGAAATTGACACCAGCTGACATTTACTAATGACAGCTGATGCCATGCATCAGATCTAACAAGCTGATTAAGGTCTGAAACCTATTAAAAAGAACCTGAGACTTTGGAACTCTTAGGGTGTCCAAACTTTTGCAGAGTGCCATAATAATGTTTTTATTTTTTATCTTTGTTCAATTTATGACATAAAAAGTAACTATGCATCAATGTTTGGTGAAAATATTGTGCATTTTTTCCATTTCCTACAGAGACTGTGTTTACATCTTTTCCATTAAAAAATGACCAAAATATGTTATATATCGAGGGGTGCCCAAACTTTTGCATACTATTGTATGATGTGGAGACAGGCAACTGGTACCATTCCCAGGAAATGGGCTTATCCTGCGCAACCCTCAGATGTTGCGTAGTACCTGTCCATCCCAGCATCATACGCTACGCTGACCCCTGCTGGCCAATCAGGAGGAGAGAAATCCATCTGCCTCCAACAGCATGCCCAATGGGTAACCTCCAGAACACCGCCCCCCGCCCACATATCCTACCTCAAAAATACAAATAAAGCAAAATATTTTTTTTTTGAGTTTTTGATAGCGTTAGTCAATCCAGTACAGTATCAAGGTGAGCCTGAAGCTTTTTCCCAGAAGCACAGGGTACAAGACAGGGCACAGAATGGATGGGATACCAGTCCATTACAGGACAGTCACTCACACAGAAAGGGCAGATTAAAAACACACACAGCTGGGCATGGAATTCCAACCCTCACTCTGAAGGTGAATTTACAGTTACATCGACTGAGCCACTGTATATAGAGTCTACAACATATAAAATATCTGCTGTAATGGAAGTCCGCAGCCTAAACTGGCATCTTCACCTCTGCTGGTACTTCCAAAGTAGCTCTTTAAAACATAATTTTAGGCTCATGAGTTTTTCGATTTATGATATATGTGACAGGGGGCGACATGGTGGTGCAGTGGTTAGCACTGTTGCCTCACACCTCTGGGACCTGGGTTCAAGTCTCTGCCTGGGTTACATGTGTGCAGAGTTTGCATGTTCTTCCCATGTCGTCGTGGGGTTTCCTCCAGGTACTCCGGTTTCCCCCCACAGTCCAAAAACATGCTGAGGTTAATTGGCGTTACTAAATTGCCCATAGGTGTGCATGTGTGAGTGAATGGTGTATGAGTGTGCCCTGCGATGGGCTGGCCCCCTGTCCAGGGTTATTCCCTGCCTTGTGCCCATTGCTTCTGGGATAGGCTCCGGAACCCCCGCGACCCAGTAGGATAAGCAGGTTGGATGATGATGGATGGATGGAAATATAAACATGCATTTTCACAGCCAGAGGCATCTCACCTAACCTGTTATCTGCAATGAGGATCCTGTCTTATTAGGGCAGAGTTAATTTGAAGCAGGGGTTTTAAAGTACCAGACTGGGCCCACATTATGCTTCACTCAAGGAGTGAAATATTTCTCTTTAGCATTGACTTGTCTCTGGCAATAAGTCTGTATGATAATAGAAAGTTTCTTAAATTAGTTACTATGTTTTACTGTTGTAGTACTGGGTAACAATATATTTCCAAGCTACAGTTTGTTAGTAAGTATAAACATTAATTTTTAGCATATAATAAAAATAATAATTGTGTGATCATGTAAATAGGCAACCACATCTGCAAAACCCATAAATAAACCTATTAAGTAAGTCATGTCCTGGATTATTTTTCAGAGCTCTGTTCACCAGTGACTGGGATGTCAAGGGGAAGTGCAAGTACAACATCCCAGGCGTTTCCCCAGAAGGGATGAACCTGGTGATCGAGTATGCCTATACCCACTCAGTGCGCATCACAGTCGATAACGTGGAGAGCCTACTGGCGGCCGGTGATCAGTTAAACATCCCGGGCATTGTACAGCACTGCAGTGACTTCCTGACTGCCTTCCGCTTCCTCCTGGAGAACTTCAAGATGATCGCCAGCACCTCACAGGAATTCCCGGAGCTCACCCTGCACCAGCTCTGTGAGATCATTCAGAAGGATGAGCTTAATGTCAGAAAGGAGGACACCATCCTGCACTGGATCATGCATGATCATGCATTTACTACCATAAATGGAAGTACATTTCTCTCTGAACTCTACATGTTGGTTTGTTTTGTTTCCTCCAAAACATTTGTATGACTCCTCTGGACCATTCGTATATGTGCAGACGTTTCAGGTTAAGTCTTTCCTTATAAATTCTAAAATCTTGATATAAATGTGTGTATGAATGTTTCTCATCTTTTTTGTTCACATGAACCCTTTATAAATGAGCCCCCTGGTTTCTTAGGCTTAAAAGTCCAGAAGCAAGGAGTTCATAACTTTGTGAAAAGTTGTTTGCCCACCCCTTTGGTATCCAAGTGATCACTTACCATTGTCATCTCCCAGGTGGGCGGTACAGACAGGTCTGAGTGCCTGCGGAGCGTGGAGGTCTATGACCCATTGACCAATCGCTGGCATGCTGTGGCACCCATGTACAACCGGCGGTGTAATTTCAGCATCGAGGTGGTTCATGACCAGATCTTCGTGGTGGGCGGCCAAGATGGGTTTAGAACCATCACAACAGTAGAATGCTATGATGCAGGGACAGGCAATTGGTACCGAGCCCACCGACCAATCGCTGGCATGCTGTGGCATCTATGTTGAACCGGTGCCGTAACTTCGGCATTGAGGTGGTGGATGGCCTGATCATCATGGTGGGTGGCTAAGACAGGTTTAGAACAACCACCATAGTAGAATGCTATGATGTGGAGACACAGGACATGGGCTTATCCCGCTGCACTCTGGGTTGAATGGAAGTTTGCAACCTAAACTGGCATCCTTTACTCTTCTGGTGCTTCCAAAACAGCTCTTCAAAACAATTTTAGATAGATTTGTATTTAAAAAAAAAAAAAAACTCATCAGTGTTTTCATAACCAGGGGTGTATTGTTTAACCTGGTACCTGTGATGAGGCTCCTGTTTAATTTGGGCAAGAGTTAACTTGAAGCAGGGGTGTCAAAGTACAAGTCCATGTGTCCGACCTGGTCCACAACGAGGTTCTTTCCAGCCTACGACGTGTTGGCAGAACCTGAGGAACAGAACCACTGAAAAATGGAAAAAACATCGATCACTATGCATCACTATACTATGCATCATGCTTGTGCTGATGTGAGGCAGGGGGTATGGTGAGACCCCCCACTCCATGGTTCTGTCCTGCTATTTAAACAAATATGTATGAGACATTGTGTTTCACTAAACACTAACCAGAAATGAAATACATTTGTTTCAATACAAATACCCTCTGTTTTGTGATCAATTTACTTTAACTAATCTCCCGATTGTTGTCCTAATACCATACTCAGATCCTTATAATTTAACCGATTTACTTCAATTACCTCAAGTTATAGCGTTTTATACGTGTAACTGTGTCGCACAACTTGCGCATATTTTAAAACAATTCGTTCACATTAAAAGAATCACCGCGTTTAATATCAAACTAGTTAGCGTTGCAGCTAGCTCTTTGCTCTTACTGTTCAAGACTCCACTATAGACATGAATCCACATGTACTCCGTGGTAATCGCAGTCAACTTTACAAGACCTATCTCATACAATAGTACTGACCCAGATATTTGGTATAAAGAAAGAAAACCTAATATTTTACTGCCGCTTTACTCAACCGACTGAAGTCACGTACCCGCGCATGGCTCTAAATGGCTGAATTGCTCCACGCGTATAGTTAATATGTAAAGTCAAATAAAAAAAAAAAAAAACACGTCTTTCCTCCATAACCCTAATTTCTTTGTTTCATTTAACACATATTTTGGTACAATACTATCTAAGCAAATTAGATAACATTAGAAATTTCATCTAATTGACTTAATTTAACGTTTGGTCTTACCCACATTCCTAATCTGGGTTACACGCTGGCGCACAGTCATGGTGGAACAGAAAATGGCCTTCCCTAAACTGTCCTACAAAGCTGGAAGCATAGAATTCGTGAAAGTGTCTCATATTACCTAAGCATGTCTAAAAATATCCTTTGAAAAATTACTTTAAAAGGAGCCTAAACCTGCAAACAATTTAGTAAAAATATATACTTTAAAATATTCATGTTAAGTTTAAAAAAATCCAACGATCACCAAGTTTCCGTGGTGAATTTTACCGTTGAATTTTACCTCAGACCATTTCCCGCCGTTTTCACTGAATTTCAAAGCGCGTCTCGCGTGCAGCAGTTTGCAGCACGTCTTTTAATTGCTGTTAACATCGAATCTGGCTTAGCTGCTTTCCTTTGTCATTGTAAATTAGAAAAAACATATTTCCCATCAATGTTTATCTAACCGCTGCAAAATTTGCCTGGTGTGTTTAGCTTGTTAAAAGACGAATGCCGATTTTACCGGGACCAGTACTACTGGAGGGGTCCTTATCGCATGCTGCAATTGGATTTTAAAGGTGAAACATTTTCATGATTTAAGATGATTTTAAGCAAGTTTCGTTTGGACTCGTTACCTGTCGACGATGAGCTACTAGGTTTGCGTTGAATAACTATAAGGTATAATGTTGAGAGACTTGCACCATAATTTAATTATTTTTCTCGCATGACTTATTGGTGGCATTTTGCTTACTCCTTAGCACTGTTTAGCCTACGTATAAGGCTATTTTGAAATATTGGAACACACGTACGTGTTTCAAATCTATTTTATTTTTACGTATCATCAATAGTATTGTGAAATGCTAGGTCCGACTGTTACACATGCAGGCTGTACTCGCAGCGGGCTAAAGCAGTCATACTAGTGATGGCCGATTCGCGAACGAATCGTTCTTTTTAACTCGGTTTTTTTAGTGAACGGGTTGAACCGATTCGTAAGTCTGAACGAATCGATTTTTAAAATTATTTTAAATCTTATTTAAAACTGATCTTTGGCTATTCAACATCCAAATCATCCCCCGCGATTTCGGATTTTTCATGTTCCCTCTGCGCTTGTCTTATCACTTTTAGGTTTATTCTTATGTTCGTCACTTACATTCGTCACTTTTGCGTTCGTAGACTTTAGGCCCAATCCCAATTCTACCCCTTACCCCTACACTTGCCCCTACCCCTCCGTTTGGCGCGTTCACGTGTAGGGG